AAAGATACAAACAGCCAAAAGTACCTCAAGAAGAAGAGCCTAAATAGTTCTCTATCTATTAAAGAAATGGAATTATAGTTTTAAAAAAGTTTTCCCAACAAAAACTCTATGCCCAGGTGGCTTTAGAAGTAATTCTTCTAGGGGCACACAAGTGGATCAATCTGTTAACCGTCCAATACTTGATCTTGGTTCAGGTCATGATCTCATGGTTTCTGAGTTTCAGCCCTGCGTCAGGCTCAGCACTAACTGCTTGGGATTCTCTCCTTCTCTCTTCCCCTCCCCTGCTCACTCACTTGCGCTCTCTCTCTCTTTCAAAATAAACTAAAAAAAAAAAAAAAAAAGTAAATTCTACAAAACATTAAGAAAAATACAAAATTTAGAGAAACATTTCCAAAAAAGTAAACAAGAGTGAACATTTGGCAACTCATTCCGAGTCCAGCATTATTTTTTAACCAAATCCAAAGACATTCTAAGACAGCTCAGAGCCTGGAGCCTGCTTCAGATTCTATGTCTCCCTCTGTCTGCCCCTCCCCAGGTTGCACTCAGTCTCTCGCTTGGTCTCAAAATACACAAACATTAAAAAAAAAGAAGAAGAAGAAATTGGTAATATATCAAGACAAAGTGGGATTTATCTGGCTTAACAGCAGGAAAAAAAAAATCAACCAATGTACTTCATCATATTAACAGATTAAAAAAAGAAAAAACACCCATGATATCAACATATAGAAAAATAATGACAAAATCTAACATCCACGGTTGATAAAAACTCCACAAATTAGGAACAGAAGGAAACTTCCTCAACATCACATATAATGTTAAAAGATTACTTTCCTCCTAATTTCAAGAATAAAGCAAAGATGCTCACTCTTAGCACTTGTATTTAAAAATATAGTAAGAAATGAGGGGCATCCAGATCAGGAAGGATGAAGTACAACTATCTTATCTGTAGCGGGCCTAATCATCTGTGAAAAAAATCCCACGGAATCAATAAGCTACTGAAAATAAACCTTTAGCAAGTTTGCAGGACACCACATAAACATACAAAACTACAAAAATGTATTTCTATATACTAGTAAGAAACAATCAGAAATTTACATCTTTTCTTAATTTTTTTAAAATGTTTATTTATTTATTCCTGGGGGGGAGGGGGGGGAGAGGAGAGAGAGAGAGTGTGAGCAGGGGAGGGTCAGAGAGAGAGGGAGACACAGAATCTGAAGCAGGCTCCAGGCCCTGAGCTCACTGTCAGCACAGAGCCTAATGAGGGGCTTGAACCCACGAACTGTGAGATCATGACCTGAGCCAAAGTCAGAGGCTTAACTGACTGAGCCACCCAGGTGCCCCCAGAAATCTACATCTTAAAAAAGATTGTAACAGCATCAAAAAAACATCAAACATTTAGGAAGAGAGCTGAAAAAAAGATGAATAAAACCTGTATACTTGTTGTTGAGATAAATAAATGAAGAGATGTGTACTGTGTTCGTGGATCAGAAGACTAAATATTGTTAAAGACATTAATTCTCCCTCAAAATGATTTATAGATCAATGTAGTTACAGTAAAAATACAGGCAGTTTTATTTCAACAACTAGGCAATCAATCTGATTCTAAAATTCACATAAAAACAGAACTTAGAATAGTCAAAATGACTTTTAAAGAGAAGAACAGAGTTGGAAGATGGATCCTACCTGATTTAACTGGTTATTTTAGAGCTACAGTAATCAAGAGTTTGATATTAAATGTAAAAGCAGACAAGGGCACCTGGTGGCTCAGTCAGTTGAGCGTCCGACAATTGATTTCATGATCCCAGCGTCATGGGCTCAAACTCCACATTGGGCTGTGCATCAAGCATGGAGTCTGCTTAAGATTCTCTCTCTCCCCATCTGTGTACCTCTCTCTCACACTCATGCACTCACATGCTCAGAAATAAAAAAACAGGGGTTCCTGGGTGGCTCAGTCGGTTGAGCGTCCGACTTCGGTTCAGGTCATGATCTCATGGTTCATGGGTTCGAGCCCTGCATCGGGCTCTGTGCTGACAGCTCAGAGCCTGGAGCCTGTTTCGGATTCTGTATCTCCCTCTCTCTGCCCCTCTCCCGCTCCCTCTCCGGCTCTGTCTCTCTTAAAAATGAATAAACATAAAAGAAAAAAAAATGTCTGCTTAAGCCACTGAGTGAGGAAAACTACCTGCAAATAATGTACATGATAAAGGACTCACATCTAGAGCACCTAATTTCTCACAAAATTCAGAAGAGAGAAGCCAACAAAAAAGGACAGGCGATGGACAGATCTGAGCAGACCTCACCAAAGAAAGTAAAGAAATGGCAAATACCCACACAGAAAGATGTTAACATAATTTAGTCATTACAGAAATGCAAACAGAAACCTCAGTGAGAAAGTACTGCACACCGGTACACCAGACATGCCAAAATTCACCATCCCAGGTGGTGCAGAGAATGCAGAGGAACAGAACTCCGGTACCCTGCTGGGAGAATCACTGAATGGTACAACTATTTTGGAAAACAGTTTCATAGTGTCTTAAAATTTAAGGATACACCTACCACGTGACCCAGTTATTACATTCCTTGGTATTTATGCAAGAAAAATCTGTCCATATAAAGGTTTGTATTATATCCCTAGTACCTTTGTTAATAGCCAAACACTAGGAAACAATCTGAATGTCCATCAGTTACTGAATGGATAAGCATTAGGGTATGTGCATACAATAGAGGGTAGTCAGCAACAAAGAGAAGGTACTGATACACACAACATGAATGAATTTCAAAGTATGCTGAGTGAAAGAAGATAAAGTGTAAATACTGTATGTTTCCATTTTTATATTCTAGAAAGTTCAAACTAGAACTTTCAGATCACCATATAACTAAATATGATAGCTAGTCCTCATATTACTATGACACCGTTAACTTTTTTCTTTTCTCTAACTTCACTTCCAGCATATTCACAACCTCTTGGTTTTTTTCCAAACTCTGTCCCTTTTCTCGCTCTTATTTGCTAGTTTCACCTCTTCTCTCAGACCACTCAACACAGGCAGCTCGAGGACGTCCTAAGGCCTCTTTGCCTCCCCACCTGCACTCATTCCTCCACTGACACCCACTCTCATGGCTTTAAGTAAATTCTATATGCATACAATTCCCAATTTGTATCCAAAGTGTGGACCTCTATCCCAAATGCCAGACTATGCATGCCACTGGCTAATTAACATTTCTACCTGATATCTAATAAACATTTCAACCCTAACATAGGCAGAACAGCCCAGCCAAGACGTCCACATCCTAATCCCTAAGACATGTGATAGGTCATGTTACATGGCAAAAGGGCCTTCGCTAATTTAAGTAAGGCTTCAGAGTTTAAAATAAGAAAATTATTCTGGGACGCCTGGGTGGCTCAGTCAGTTAAGTGTCCAACTTTGGCTCAGGTCATGATCTTGCAGTTCACAAGTTCGAGTCCTGTGTCAGGCTCTGTACTGATAGCTCAGCACCTAGAGCCTGCTTCAGATTGTGTCTGTCTCTCTCTCTGCCCCTCCCCTGCTCACACCTTCTTTCTCTCTCTCAAAAATAAACATTAAAAAAGGTAAAATAATAATTAATAATAATAATAATAATAAAACTATAGTCTGGTTTTTTCAGGCAGGCCCAATCTAATTTCATGAACCCTTAAAAGAAGAGAACTTTCTGTGGCCAGAAGCAGAAAAGATGCAGCAGAGAAGCAGTCAGAGAGATTCCAAGTATGGGAAGGATTCCACAGGCCACTGCTGGCTCTGAGATGCAAGGACACGTGTGTAAGGGCCAAAGAGAGCATCTAGAAGCTAAGGGCAGACTCCAGCTGAGAGCCGGAAATGAAATGGGCATAAATTAATAACCTGAATGAGCTTAGAAGCTCTGGCTCCCAGATAAGAACCCAGGCCATCCACCTCAATTTTAGCTATGAGAGATCCAGAGTAACCAGCAGAGCCCACCCAGCCTTCCAGCCTACAGAACAGGGAGATAATAGGTTTATATTGTTTTAAACTGCTAAATTTGTTCTGGAAGCAAGAGAATACTAATACCATATCCAAAACTGAATTCCTCATCTTGCCCTCAACCTACCACACCCACAGTCTTTCCCAGCTTTGTTAACAGCAATTCCATTTTTTCTAGTTATCTGGTCCGACACCCTTTGACTCTTCTTTGGATCCTCTGTTTCTCTCACACTTCTCACCTTCTTTATGAGAAAGCTACATGGGTTCTACGTTTAAATATATTCATATCTCTCTGCATTATTTTAATAATCTCCTAATGGCTTCCCTGCTTCCATCCTTGACTCTCTACAGTCGATCCAAAACAGAGATCCTTACGAAGCAGCCAGAGGTCTTGACAAAACCTAAGTCAGATGATATTACATCTCAGTTCAGAAGATACCAATGGATCGCTTTTTAGTCAAACTAAAGTCCTTCCACTGGTTTCTACAGCCCTAAGTGACTGGCCCTTGCCCAGCCTCAACCCTCACCCTTCCCCCGCTCCTCGCTAACTGTGTCCTGTCACCTTTCTCTGTCCTCATTTGTTTCCATATTAGGTACATTTAAGATTTACTATAATACTTCCTATAAACCAGATATTGTTGCAATTGTTTTACATATATTATCTTACTGAATTCCAATAATTAGTTCCCCCACTGTACAGATGATCAAACAAAGTTACAAAGAGGTTAATGAAGACTAAGTGGTGAAGCCAGAATTCAAAATCACAGGGGGCAAAGCCCACTCTATAGCCCAAATTCTTAATCTCAATGATGACTCTCAAGTTATTAGCCTTACTATTTTTCAAAACAGAGTATAAACAGAACGTATAATAAAAGACAAAAGAAATGGAAATCAGTGCTTAACGTAGGGTTAAAGAAATAGGAAAAGTTAAAGGGAACCAGGACACTGAGAATGACAATACTTCTTAAAGATAAAAGCCAGCACATACCTAGTTATTATATAAAACAAAATATGGCACTTAAAACTTACTTTTTCTGTGGTAACAGTCAAAGAAGGAACCAATGCAGGTGATGGCTCTGGTTGCTTCTTGTGTTTCTGTTTGTGTTTGTCCTTTTCTTTATATTTCTAGAAATGTACAGAAATAAAATCCAATTTAAATTTATATCATTTAAATCATAAAGATGATTCTTTCATAATTCTGTTTAGTAACTGAAAATGTTAATGAATACTTGACAAAAAATAAAAACATTACTTTTTATTGTAGTCGTATTATTTTATATACAATACTAGTAAAATAGTATAATTATACATTAAGATGTATAGTAATATTAGTATAAATTATTTTAAGTGATTTCAGCTCAGTTATTCTTGACCAACCTAAAATAACAATATAAACAACTGAAGTCTATAATTATTTGCTGCATTTATATCAAGCAACATAGAATTTTTTCTTTTTAAAAACACCAAAGGGGTTCCTCGGTAGCTCAGTCAGTTAAGCATCCAACTCTGGATTTTAGATCAGGTCAGGTTCTTACAATCAGGAGATCAAGCCCCCGCATCAGGCTCTGTGCTGATCATGGACCCTGTTTGTGATTCTCTCTCTCCCCCTCCCCTCATTCTCTCAAAATAAACAAACATTTAAAACAAAATAAAAAAACACCAAATACTTTTGGTACATCTTATAAACTGCACTTTAAAATTTACATAGCACTTTGACATGCACCATCACATTAGAATAGTGTCAGATTCTACACCACTATGCATTTAATTGTATGGCCCACAAACTGGAATCCAGGGAACAGAAACTGAAGTGAGACATTCTTTCCAAGGTTTACTCTGAAAAATGGATGAATTAGCTATCTCAAACCAAAATAATTAGGAGTGTGTGGGTAGCTCCATCAGTTAAGCGTCCGACTCTTCCTTTCAGCTTAGGTCATGGCCTCACAGTTCTGTAAGTTCGAGCTCGACACTGACAGCATGGAGCCTGCTTGAGATTCTCTCTGTCCCACTCTCTCTGCTCCAACCCCACTCATGCTCTCTCACTATCTGAAAATAAACTTAAAAAATTTTTTTTAGTAATTTAAAGTTGTGGTGTGCTATTTTCACTTTAAAGTACTAAAACTGATAAACTAAATATAAGAATTCAATTGAATTAGAATTACATATTAAGAGCCCAACTTTATTTAATTACAAAAATTTTAACCAAATTGCTTTCAACTGCTTGAATCAGGTAGATAAGAATCAGTATTAGGAGTGAAATGTCCTCTTATTTAAAAGAGTTACATTTTAGGGAAGCCTGGATGGCTCAGTCAGTAAAGCATCTGACTTCAGCTCACATCATGATCTTAAGGTTCTTAGGTTTGAGCCCTGCATCGGGCTCTGTGCTGACAGCTTACAGCCTAGAGCCTGCTTCAGATTCTGTTTCCTCCCTCTCTGCCCCTCCCCCACTCACACTGTCTCTATCATTCTCATTGCAACAGATCTTAGTAATGACCACCCAGGAATCCTGCCTCTGCTTCTGCTGGATATCACTGCTCCTCCCATGGTAACATGTCCTCTTCTCCACCCCCCATGAACTTGCGTTAGCTCTGTGACTTGCTCTGGCCAAGAGGATATGCACAGTGATGCTGTAGAAGTTCAGGAGCCCAAAGCTTTACGAAGTCTTAGATGGCTTCCACCTTTGCCCCTTGATTTCCAGCCACCATGTAAATAACCACTTCAAACTCTCTGACAGATAATCAATCAAGTAGAGAATGAGATCCTGTGGAGAAAAACTGAAGTACCTCATGCTATAGCCAGCAGGATCCAACACGTGAATAAGACTACCTTGCCGGAATAATTTAGTAGAAGTAAAATGACTTAAAAATGCCAAAAGAATATTTTTTTTAAAAAAGGCTTATATCTTACACTACCCTGGCAGCCACCAGCTGAATGTAGCTTCATAGGTAAACCCAGCTGATAACACCTGGAAGCAAGATGAATTGTTCCTGCTGAACCTTGCTGTTATAAGCCAGTATAAGTTGTGGAGTGGTTTACCAAGCAACAGTAGCTGATTGAAACAAGACTAGAATACACAATTGGATAATGAGAATTAAAGAAAGTATAAATTACAATCTAATTTATAAATATGAGGTTCAAATGATCCCGGGTCTGTAAGTTCTGTATCAATATTTTTCTCCCATAAAGATAATGAAAAAGCCTTTTCATCCTTGATGAAATGTTTTATTTCACATGTTTTATTTCACATACTGGGTGTTACTCCTCAAGGGTTTTACTCTACAAGAGATGGGATGCTTCAACAGTAAATGACCCTGAATAACAACAAGGTAAACAAACTCTTAAAACGTGCAAACTGCCTGAGAGTAAAAGGCAAGGGATGCACATGTACAGGTATGAAAATACAAACCTATAGAAATCATCATGGAATCACACAGAATTCTGGTCCTATGTGACACATCAGGAAATGTATCCTGACATGAAGACTGCATGGAAACAGACCGTGGAAAACAGACCGTGGAAACAGACCATGAACACATTATATTACTAGTCTGTAAAATATGAATCAAAACAGTCTAATTATTTTCACTAAAGAGATAAGTTGATTTTACTCTGGAAAACACTATGGAGATTTCTCAAAAAGTTAAAAAACAGAACTACCCTGGGGAGCCTGGTATCAGCATCCAGGATCCAACTCATAATCTCAGAGTCTTGAATTCAAGCCCCACATTGGGGCTTAACTTAAAAAAAAAAAAAAAAAAAAAAAAAAAAAAAAAAAAAAAAAAAAAAAAAAAAAAAAAAAAAAAAAAAAAAAAAAAAGGACCAACCCTATAATCCAGCAATTGCACTACCACTACCAGCTATTTACTCAAAGGAAACAAAAATAATGATTCTAAGGGATACATGCACCCCAATGTTTAGCAGCATTCTCAATAATAGCCAAATTATAAAAAGAGCCCAAATGTCCATCAACTGATAAATGGATAAAGAAGATATGGTATATATACACAATGGAATATTACTCACCCATCAAAAATAATAAAAATAAATCAGAGAAAGACAAACACCATAGGATTTCACTCATATGTGAAATTTAACAATGAAAACAAATGAACATGTCTGGGGAGAGGGGAGGCAAACCATGGAAACACACTCTTAACTACAGAGAACACACTGAGGGTTACTGGAGGGGAGGTTTGTGGAGCAATAGATTAGATATGTGATGGGGATTATGGAGGGCACTTGCTGTGATGAGCACTAGGGTTGTGATAAGCACTAGGTGTGTATGTAAGTGATGAATAACTGAATTCTACACCTGAAACTAATATTACACTGCATTTTAACTAACTGGAATTTAAATAAGAATTGGGGGTAAGATTAAAAAAAGAGAAGGGTATGGAGGAGGCATGGAGGAGGGCGCTTGTTGGGATGGAAACTGGGTGTTATATGGAAACCAACTTGACAAACTATAAATAATAATAATTAAAAAAATTTTGAGAGAGAGAGAGAGAGAATGGTGCCTGGGTGGCTCAGTTGGATGAACATCCGACTTGATTTCGGCTCAGGTCATGATCTCAATGTTCATGCATTAGAGCCCTGCACCAGGTTCTATATAGCCAGGGCAGAACCTGCTTGGGATTCTGAGTCTCCCTCTCTCCCTACCCCTCCTCTGCTTGCACACTCTCAAAATAAGTGAATAAACATTAAAATAAATAAATGTAAAAAAGAGAGAGGCTGATTTTAGTAGAGCCACACAACAAAGGGATATTGCAGAAAGAGATTCAATTATATGTAAATATTTAGCACATGATAAGGAAGGGATTCCAAATCTGCAAGGAAAAACCAAAATTACATAGTAACGGTACTAGAAAAACTGGTTAATAACTTGAGGGAGAGTACATTACTCAAAATATAACAAAATCAAGATAGATTATTTTAAAGAGTTAAATAACAGTTAAAATAATCTAAATGGATAGAAAATATTTTTGAGATCTTTAACTTTTTAAAAAGAAAAGCCTTTTCTAAGTATAAAGACAAAATAAAAATTATAAAAGGAAAAAGCAGTTTAGCTGTTTACATTTAAAGTGCTTCTACATTTAAAACCTTTTAAAAAACAAAAATTTGGAAAATGAGTAAAATAAATCTGTCTATATTTTAGCACTGATTAAATTCCTTTACAAATCACTAAAATATATACATATATGCACATGTATGCACCATAGAACAATGTAAAAAGGGCAATTCACAAAAGAAACAAAGATTCACTAAATAAAAAAAAAAAAGTACCACTCATCCATTAAAGAACTAAAGGTAATGTTTTTCTCCCACTAATAATCAAAATTGTTGGGTTTTGCTTTTTATAAAACTCAGTGTTCCTCAGGTTATAGTGAAATGGGTACTTGCATACATTAAAGAGACTATAAATTGCAAAGGACAATTTTAAAAGAATTAGAAACCATAAAAATGTTCTCTGTCCTAGTAATTTCACCTCTAGGAGGTGAACAAAGGGTTAAATACAGTTTATTATAGTACTATTTGCAATGAGAAAAACCTGCAAACAATCTGAATATGCAACAACAGAGATGTGGCTGAAAAAGTTATTACAAAACCAAATAATGGCCATTAAAATCAGTATGTTCTGAAAGAATACTTAGAGATTTAGGAAAATGGTTAACATGAATTAGTTTTAAAACTGTATTGCACGTGCAGGGGAAACAACCAGAAGGAAATAACCAGTACCGGGTATGTTTTCTGTAACTCCACAGGTCAGAACAGCCAGTGCTGCTCCCAACTGAATCGGTGAGCACAGCTAACAATAACAATCAGAATCATACAAAGGCATACATCGCATTTAATCCTTAAATGAGCCATGAGAGGACCTATTTTTGTAGATCAGAAACAAATCACTTAAACAATCACAAAGTACTCTTTTATCTACACCCTTGAAGAAACTTAAACAAAACTTTTTAAAAGCAGACTTAAATTTCAAGGGAAAAAAATAGACAAGTTGGCTATGATGAGAAATTTTAACATGGAAACATAAAAGAGTAGAGAAAGGAAGGAAAAGATGAAAAGAAAGAAGGGGGAGAAAATTTTAAAGTAGCTTTAGTTCCAGAATGAACTATTTT